TAATTAATACCTAATATTTAAGAGAATCCCAAAAAACTCTTGTTTCCATTTAATTACTATTAGATTTGATATCTTATGAGAAGATGTACAATTTAGATTTCGCGAATACAAATTAAAAGTTTCCAAATGACACCGTATAGCATAATACCAGCCTCATTCGGTTAAACAAGGCGTCTTACTTTAGCCGGCCGTAGTAACCAATGGTCAGAATAACTAGTGCCTGTTGTCATTGAGGACCACCGGATATGAATCTCCACTACATCATTGTGATACAATTAATAATAAAAGGTACATTTATTGATTATTTAACTATTAATCCTGATATAAAAAGTAAGTTTAAATAATTGACAAGTAAATTTTTGTTTAACTTCCAAAATGAAAGGTAACAAAGCCTCACTTTTCGGATACTTAATTATAAGGAATCTAACACTTAGACAATATACGAAGCCATACAAACTGCAACTTAATATTTTTAACAAAAAATAAATTGTTACAACAGCTCAATAAAGAAAAAGTCCTAATACCTCACAGTTGCTTTGGTAAGGTGGAAAATGTATGATTTGATATAACAATATATTTGATTTTGTTGACATTTTTAATCAATCAATTTTGTTTAACTAAATTGTTATCATATTTCATTATAATTTTCACCATGTATTTACAAAAAAGGCTCTAATTCAAGGATAATATAATCAATTTATTCCTTTGAAATATTTAGTATTTGTATAGAGAAATATGTAAATGGTAATATAATGGTATTAAGTAGTGAAATTATATATAATTAACGAGAACCAAATAGACAATTTTGGAATTCCCTACAAAACCGAACCAATTGACATCTCGATCAAAATCTCGGGACGGAGGAGCTATGCTTGCATTATTATACAAACATAAAATTACACTTCAATTACAAATTCAATACGTTGTTATTAAAATTTTACATCAACTAAATAGTCTGGCCATAAATACCTACTGTTACATAAAAACTTTTCTTCTTTTCAACTTTTTAATTATTTTGAATTTGGAACACGTATATCATTTTAAAATCTTCTTTAGATTTTGCGCCATTTCACATATTTTTTCGTATTCATTATCAAATTACAATATACTTCATTAACAAAATACATTTTCATTTGTAACAGAACTTATCTTATTTGAACCAGACTAGGTATATAGCTCCCAGTAATAATCTAACAGCCGAAGATAAATTGTATATAAGTGCTTATTAGGTAGGTTATAGGTAACGTAACATTTAATCAAGATTTGAATACTTATAAATCGAATTGGAAGGGAGGTTTGTGCACTGCCCTTAAATATATCGTGAAGTAATAAAGGACTAACTGTCGTACTTAATATTGAGTTACCTATTATTAGATGTCAAAAAAATCAAAATCAAAATACGTTTATTCAATTTAGATGCTTCTTAGAGCATGCTTATGAATGTCAACAACGTTTACAAAATTCACGAAAGAGCAAGACTACGCCATCCGTTCGCAAAACTACCAGGAGGCCTTGTTCTGAGAAGAACGGGCAAGAAACTCAGCAAGTTTTGCCCTCCCTTTACATTACAATTACAATTAATAGTAATTTAATAATAAATGTAATTTAATAGACAATTTGCGAGAGTAATCCATATATGTATTGTTGTTGTTGTTGTTATAATATGTTCGTGTATATAAGGTTTTGGAAATAGAAAAGTTATGATCGTCAACTGTTTTACTTCTTGATTTTATGTTTGACAGGGCATGTTCAAACATTGAACCCTTTTTTATCAGAGGATTAGGCCAATAATTCTCTACTGACAGCCGAATTTATTTTGCTAACTGAGAACACGCGAAAAAGGTTTGTAGAGATTTTATTGTGTTAAAGCTATTATGTTTTTTTTATTATCGCTTAAATATATATTATAAATAAACTAATACTACTGACAACACCAAAAAACCACTAAGGGTCCTCAACTTTGGTGACTGAAGGGCTACACCACTGTACAATTTTTTTTAAATCCCTTATAAACAAAACGAAAACATTACAATATACAGAGAGAAAAATAATATTATACATAATTTTACATTTAGGTATCTTAAATTAATGGAGTCAAATAATCACATCCCAGAATGGTCAAATATTATTATTGTAGTAATCTATTCATTTTTTACGGGTCATTAAGTCTGATACTCACTAAAATGCTTTAACTTTACTGTAACAAGTATTCACTATTTAGAATATAAATATTTGTATCTGAAACGATTTTAATCCGTAAGAGTAAATTTTCTTACAAACGGTACATTTCAATAGTTTCACCTTACACTGCCGTTTTGTTTGATTGCTATATCAATGTTCCATTTAAGCCTAGAAATGTACACAATGCACCATTGAAGAGCTACAATAATCCTAAAAGAATAGAAATTATTTCGTCAAAATTGTATACATTTTAAGTTCTTATAATATTCTGAGAATAGTTTGGCAAATGAGAATTTCATTTCATGAATTTCATTTCTTGCTACTCAGGAAACAATTTCATAGTTGCGGTTTTGCCAAAAGATGAGAGAACTTGTTTGTTTTTAATTTAATCGGGGATGTGTTAGAATAAACGTATACAAATAGTGTGGCAATGAATTGGTATCGTATTGATAATTTGGGTGTTATAAATCACAAAAGATGGTGTTTGGACAAGTGATTGAGCATTTTTTACGAACTTCTAAAAACCTCAAAAAGGAGGTTTACCATTCGATGTGTGAATTTTGTTCAAGCATAGCTCATCCGTTCTTGGACTAATCTGAATGATCGACGTATCAAATGATTCACTCTCATTCCTCATTCATCAGTGATATAATTTGAACATTATTTAGGTTCCTTGCATTTTTTCTTTTATTTTTAAGACGTTTTCTATTGGTTACCGACATTACCGTTCAGCCACTGCTTTACCGACTCCCAACTACCATTACCAACGGAAAAAAACACGAGGATGTTTGAGAAAAAAGTATCGAGAAAGATGTTGTCGAAAATAATAAGAAAATTTAAGTTGTGTGTGTGTATGTCAAATATATTTACTATTCAGATTCACTTCAGATAAAATTAACAATTAAAGTAATCGTTATAAATCAAGTTTATTTATATATTTTCTCTTCTTTAATTTACTTAAAACGACTTTAATAATTAAAACTCAATAAAATTTAAAAGTCAAAGACTTTTTAAAATAAATCAGAGGCAAAGCAAAGTTAGTTTTTTCTGATAGCGCTTTAGATGACAGGAATTAGTATTTTAATTTACACCAAATGGATCACTTTCTTAGTAGTTTAACTTCTAGATTCTATTACTTTTGAGTACCTTTAATCTTTAAGAAAGGTTTAAATGTTATAATTAATTAATAATAGCTAAGCATAGGTTCAAAGAGCACGAGTTTGTTATGTAAGCTATGAACGACTTTTCTCAATCAAATTATCCAAAACCGTATATCTGTTACTGTAAAAGTTCGAACTGCGGTTTATCTTAAGATTTAAGTGTAAGTCTTAGGATTTACCGACATGAGTTGGTAAATGTAAGTATTTCTGAAAATACGACGATTTTTTCGAGCTTTTACCATTCGAATTCAGTTTATGCTAGGTTTTACCAATGTCAGCTGGTAGATGTTGGTTTTAGGAATAAAACAATGAGTAATTCTTAATTATTTACTTTAATGAACTCTTAGACAAAACAGGTACATAGTATTATAAAGGTATCATATGATAGTAATAAGTACAAACTAATACCAACTTATTTAAATTATTTTTAAAAAACACATAACGTATATCTCTGAATATCTCAATCTCTATCATATCTATCTAACTGAATCAGTAGTTCTCTATTTGGAATTTAACAACGAAATACAAACATAATGCTTACATAGGCTAGTCTAACTTAATAATTATTTTTGTTTTTCAACATTTACCGTGCCATTAATGTAAATCCTAAGATTTACCAACGAAATGGTGGTAAGAGTTCGAATCGCAAACCTTTTGGGACATTTACCATTAGGAATTGGGAGATCTTAGGTTTTACTGGAATATCATAGGATTTACTGCAGTTCGAGCTTTTACAGTAACATATCGACGACAAACTGTGGCTCGGTAAAACGCGTCTCTACTGAATTTTTAATATGCAATATAAATTTTTTACTATGAAGCTATTCTAAGTAAGATAAAATTTTACAGTATGACAGAAGTTTGCGCACTTACACTTTGTTAGAATAAAAGTATTTGCAAATGTGTGTTGTATGCATACATATTTAGTAAATATGTAGGTCTTTATTAAAAGCGACTTCTTATTTCTTTTTAATTAATATTACTCTACTCCCCCTGCCATTGTGTCCACGGACTTTTTCTATCTCTAAAATTTACTATAAAACATGATACATTATATACGCCCCGGCTACATCGGTAATAATTTTATTTACAATATTCATGGGCGACCCGGGGCGCAATTCCTCGCGAGACCCGCTCTTTCAGATTTGTTTGCCGTCTTTATATATTTAAAAAAAAATTCGCAGAACCGTTCCAGGCACGATCTGTGCTTTATTAACATGTCCTGTAGGCCGCTACGGTCTACAGTCATCTGCATTTGTTGCTCCAGGTCGTGCCTGGACGATGCGAATATAGGGCAATGTATAGACTTCTTTTGTTTACTTATGTATAATGTTTTTTTTTAATTTAACGTCATTTGTCGTCAGATTATCTTGACATTATAAAACTCAGTCGTTTAGATAATTTGAAACAGAATTTGAATTTTATATTGTTTTAAGATACGGGACTATGTATACAGTTAAACACAATATCGCTTTCCGCTCTGTAGGCTCAAATCTTCAAAAATACGCGGTTCCATTTCCACTTGTTCCATATATTTTTATTTAATTAAATGAAACTAGCCAAATCATCCAAATTCACTACACAATTAAAATTTTACTTTTGAAAGGCGTACGTAGAAAATATCAATTGTGCTAAAATAATAATGGAGCTAGTATCAGCATGTATGAAAATTGTAAATCGGATAGATACAGCTTCACAACTAGGCTTAAAGTATATTAAAGAAAATCATTTTAATCTACCATAAAAGCATACGACTCTCATCTCTAAAGTCGTAGGTTCGACATCCGGCGCACACTAGGAATTTCTGTCTATTTGCGCTTAACACTTGGGACACTACTGAGGAAACGACCATGGCGTAGACACAAAATGTCAACAGAGTGTCAGGCACAGAAGGCTGATCATCTATTAAAAAAATCATTAACCACAAAACAGACACATAAATCTTAGACCTAAACGGTATGTAGTTAAGTTAAGTTTTTATTTAAATTCTGAAATTTTCGTTTTCGTAATTGTTTTGTTTAATATTTGTATTATCGCTTCGTGTATGTAATGTTTGCCAATAAGTGCTTGTCTCGTTAATATTGTGTATTGTGGTTCTTTTACCAATGTATCAGTGAGCTGAGCCTTGGCAAGGTTTTATCAATAAAAAAAATTGATTTAAAGAATAATTCTTCTAAAAAAGCATACTTTATGCTCATCTAAGCATGCTTTATTGTCACGTTAATGCTATCAAGTTCTCGACGCCGTGAAGACAATGAGATAATTAAAAAGAACTAAACCATGTCTGTGAATAATGCAAGCGGCTTTTAAAAACACTCATATGGCGCCACAAATATTGTATGACGTTACTATATGTATCTTAAAAGGATTTTATATGTAACGGTTCAACTATAATATACATATTAATTTAAATTTAGTGAGTTAAGAATATTATAAATACAGTATATTTGTGTGTTGGAAATAAAATTTATTAAACTATTTTTATTTACATTTATTTATTAACTTTTTTTTTTAACGTATCATATTTAATATGATACGTTAAAAAAATTTTCGGGATCGCGCGGTATACCTATTACGCGAACAAAAGAGTACCACACTCGCGACAGGAACTAAGGACGTTGAGACGGAAAAATCCAAATATATTTATTTTAATAAACGTTCTGCGTCTATTAATAAATCCCTATTTTAGTCTAGTTTCAAATTTTAATAAAGAATAAATTCGAGTATCTGTTAAGAAACAGAAGTGTTTGTCGCCAAGCGTGTCTTCACATTCATACCTCGTCTGTAATGTTTTAATTTTCGGATCGCCCATCCTATAACAAGAACCATTCTGTTATCACTTTCATAGGTTATTTTGTTTTATAATTCTCTATTTACAAGTCCTCTTTTGTAATCCTCTAGTAATATTTTGTATGAACTAATTAATTATATTTGATTGTTACAATTACTAATAAAGATAAATAATATTAAAAAATAATAATAATTATAAACATTATGTTTGTGCATAAACCAATGCATGAAACACTTATCGACGCTACACATTGGTTAGGATTTGTATAACTTGTTTCCTATCCTATTTTTTGTTTGTTTTTATTGGCGCATAAATAAATAATTAAAAATAAATTATCAGTTTTACAGATAGAAGCACAATGCTCTCTCACAGCTTGCGAAGTGCTTCAAATGTTGACTGAGAGAAGCAAATCGGGTGAGACTGCTGTAGCGTGTGCTGAAGATTTGAAATGGCGGCAGCTGGACCGACGCTTGAGAGCTATTGAACAACCAGGTTCATTTTCTATTATTAAAATTTTCCATCTTTGTCATGGACCTACAAAATCCCTAAACGCATATATTGGACGTGCTAAGTCCAATTGTAACTAGAATTTTGTCTTTTAAACGTTATCATTACTGAACTTAAACGATCTTATCTTTTAAAATATTATGCGTGTTAAAAAGTTATAAGGTTTATAAGATTCAATACATGCTTTATGAACTGTTCTTCAATCGTTATTAGTTACGTTTGACCCTTAGCAGTGCTAGATTTTTTTTCTTTTGCCAAAAACACCTCACGTGCTGATGGAAAATATCATGAGGTAACTAATAACTTCAATCAGCACGTGCTCTTACCCCAAAAAAATATCGAAGAATCCGACACAGAAAGACGAAGAGGGAGTTATGGGACCTCATACTTTTTAAGAGGTCTTAGTACCTACGTGTAAATAGAAAAAGTCAGTAAAATAAAAAGCAATGCAATAAGAAAATTATAATAAATGCGAGTTATGGGACTTCATACTTTTTAAGAGGTCTTAGTACCTACGTGTAAATAGAAAAAGTCAGTAAAATAAAAAGCAATGCAATAAGAAAATTATAATAAATGCCTCTAGTCCGTTGTCCCAGTTTGATAAATATCTATATAATCCCTTTGAAAATTACTTGAAATCAGCTTTAGACTCCTCATTGTAATCTCTTTATATTCGTAATTGTCAAAACAAACTTTGAGAAAATTTATTATCGAGAAGGCGCAAAGTATCTTTTGTAAAAGTTTGCGACATGCCAGGTTGGCCTTTTTATTACAGAATTATGTTAATATAGTTCGCGGAATTCGTTCATTAAATAATATTTTATTCTTTTAAATAAAAATAAAAAATCAGTGGCGCTACAACCTTTTTTGGCCTGTGCCTCAGATTTCTGTATCTGTTTCATGATCATTTGTCAAGTAGGTGATCACTGATCAGCCACCTGTGCCTGACATACGCCGTCGACTTTTTGGGTCTAAGGCAAGCCGGTTTTCTCACGCGGTTTTCCTTCACCGTTATAGCGAATAGTAAATGCGCACATAGAAAGAAAGTCCATTGGTGCACAGCCGGGGTTCGAACCTATGACCTCAGTGATGAGAGTCGCACGCTGAAGCCACTTGGCCAACACTGCTCATTCTTTTAAATAAAATGTAATAAATTATGTCATTGATACGCTTATGTCATAATTTATATAAACAAGTGTTTAAATCTAAATTTAACAAGTACGTCTCCCATTTGTCAATTATGACATTTGACATACGGGAAACACTTGACAGTAACAGACAGTGTTAAGACACTATTTTTAAGTATGTCAGACTTTCTCCAAATTTCCCTCGTCCATGTAACCTTAACTCCCTACTTTCCCTCCCATCCAGCCCTATCGTCAAAATTTTAGGGAAATTTATTTCTGTTAATAAATTAAAATTATAAATAAGATTCTCCCCTCCCTACTTTGTAGTATAATGTTAACCTCTTGTATATATTATTAGATGTCTGTGTGTGTTGTCTTTATTGTGACGTCATTTTTGTTTTGGGTAACTCTGCTTAGATTAAATTCAATCTATCAAAATTCTAATCTATTCTCACCGTGTGAAGACTTGGAACGCGACATTGGCGGAATTGTGATTTACACAGAAGTCGCCATTTTAAATAAAGTGAAGTGAAGTGAAAGTGACTTTTAATGTTTGCCAAGCACCGTTTGGCTCTTTCAAAACACTGCACTATCTTATTAAAAGGTTCAATCTAGCTTATCAAGTTATTAGAGACACCCAATTGTCTGAGCCAAAACCAATAACGGCGTTGCGACTTGTATAAATGCCAAATTGCGTAACATAAAATCTTTAACATTTGTATACGACCCTATTTATATACAATACAATAACACAATACAATACTTTAACAGTGGTACAAAGAAAAACTTACTGGCTAGCAGCGGCTGGAATAACGCTAGTAAGAACAGTTACGCCGACGTTATACTAGGTCTAAGTTATTCCTGGTTTATTAGTAGGCATTTTGCTTATAATATTTTATATCACGTTTATTGGTATACTATGGCGTTAACTAAGTGATGTATTATTTTTACATGTTTTGTTTAGATTACACGTAAACATTTAATAGACAATGCGTATAGTAATTAACAGGTGGGCTTAAAAGTTCGAAGCTATAGAAAACCCTTTTTTCATAGAATTTGTTTTGATTATTCCATGATTGCCTTTGAGAGCGATACAGCATAAATACAATTTTTCAATACCATTTTTAAAGTATGATCTGTCTTTAGCCTGAAATTAGGCTTCAGTTAATACATTTTTGTATATATATATATATATAATACAATTTTCCAAGTGCATGATAATTTTCTAATCATGACACTAGAAATTATTATAATAATCAGTGGCGCTACAACCTTTAGGTCTTGGCCTCAGATGTCTGAATCTGTTTCATGATCATTTTTAAATCTAATAGGCAAGTGATCAGCCTCCAGTGCCTGATACACGCCGTTGACTTTTTGGGTCTAAGACATGTCGGTTTCCTCATGATGTTATCCTTCACCGTTCCAGCAAATGTTAAATGAGCACATAGAAAGAAAGTCCATTGTTGCACAGCCGGAGATCGAACCTACGACCTCAGGTATGAGAGTCGCACGCTGAAGCTGAGGCCAACACGAGCAGTGTTGGCCTCAGCTTCAGCGTGCGACTTAGCCTGCTATAAAATTATTATAGTCAGGTTAAATTAGTTATAAATAAAACGTTTCATCTGCAATAGACCATTTTAGTCAAAACATTAGTAGTAGTATATTTCATTTTTTTTCATTAATTAATAAAAAAAATTAACAGAATGTGTTGTTTTCAGCATGGACAATTAGCTTAGCGCAGTCCCGTTGGCGGCAATGCTCAAAGAGTGTTTGCAGGTGTGACGCAGTTCATAGATCATTCAACTGTTGGAGGTCCGGCTTAACAGCGCTGACGGCGGATTTGACAGTGCCTATCGATATTTATACCATGTACGTATTCGATTCTTGATACGATTCATTATAAAATCTACGGATACTTGCCACTGAATTGCTTTGTTTTGTGCATTATTTATGTCTAAGTCATTGCACTTCGTATGTAGTTTTGTATTTCTTGCGCTCACCTTATTTCTTAAGTTTCCAAGCGGCTTGATCTCTTGGTGCTGCGTAGAGATGTGGGTCTCTCTGCATCTTCTACAGCATTTACCGTGGAGAATGTTATGTATGTACCTGCAGCTGAGTTTTATCATCGGAAGTCAAGGCAGAATACAAAATACCATCCGTATTATCTCGACGTCCGTCGTTCCACAACTGAGCGTTTCTTAAGGCAGTTTTTGCCGCGCACCACCACTATGTTGAACCAGCTGCCAAATGAAGTGTTTACGAATTAATTCGACTAAGGGTTCTTCTAGAAAAGAGCGTACCAATTCTAACAAGGCCGACAACGCACTTGGGAGCCTTCCGGCAATGTGAGTGTCCATGGGCGGCGGTATCACTTAACATCAGGTGAGCCTCCTGCCCGTTTGCCTCCTGTTAAGTTAAAAAAATATGTTTTCTTACAGCGATTGCCTGGAAGAGATTTTTGGAAAGCGATAAGGTCACAAGTCTTAACTATTATTTATTTTAATTGGACTGTATTTTTTGCAATGAAGTGTAAATAAATAAATATTATTACCCTATAAAAAAGAGAAGTCGCAAGTCTCTAACAAATTTTGTTAATGCTGTGATGAAAAGAAACAGTATTTAAATTTATTTACATTTCATTAATATTTAGAAACGAAGTAAATGTAAAAACAAGACCTTCATTTGTTTTGTATAAGCTCAGTAATAGATACTTAATCACGGAATATTGTAAGAGAATTTAGTATGTTAATTTGTTGTTTGCGACTGACAATATTATCAGAAAGATTGTTTATTAGGGCATTACATATGAAATTGACGTTTTGTAGTACTTTGACCTCAAATATCTCCTCTTTGGTTAGAAATTCCAAATTCATTTTACTCGTGCATTTGTTTTTCGAAAACCAAAATTCATTTCATTTTCCCGTTTCAATTATTTTTCTTTGCGTCAGTCTATTTATAAAATGGAAATTAGAAATATCGCGTTATTTAAGAGTACGAGTTCCACCGTGGCACCAGTGCTGCAGAATCGAAGGATTAATGATGTGTATGGCAACGGACGAATAAAACACAGTCCGTTTTTGGTTCCAACGTCGAGCTGCAGAACAAGACCCATGGACGGCCGGAGACCAAAGTTGATAACGAAGAATTGAAGGCTGTTGTCGAAGTGGATCCATCGCAAACTACATCTGAGTTATCTGCAGGCTGCGGTGTTAGTGATAAAACTGTATTAATTGAAGCATTGGGAGGGTAAAAAACTCACACGCTTCACTTAATTCCTGAGGTTCCTTCAACATCCACCGTACTCCTCGGACTTTGTTCCAACATATTACCATATTTTTCGAAATTAGGATAACTTCTTCCAAGGTAAAAAATTAAACTCAGAAGTGGCAGTCGAAACCAAACCGAAAAAACCTTCAAAGCTTCCTGATTGATTCCCGTCCGAATGTTTTTGTTTAGTAAAGGGATCAATTAACTACCTATAAGATGGCAAAAGTGCATAGATAGCAATGGTACTTTGATTAATTTAATATATTTAAAGATATCTACTTTTTATTATTCCCATACAAAACGCCAATTTCATATGTAAGGATGTATTATTTTATTCATTTGCATGGGATAAATGTTGCCTGTTTTATTTACAAAACGAGTTTAACACTCTCAACTCTGAGGTTGTTTGCACGTTTGAGAACGCAATTCTATGTAGTGCAATATCGTGAGGAAACCCGTTCGTTTAAAAACAAAATCTATGAAGAAAAAATGAAACACACATATTGGAGTCTTAATCCGATTTTTATTCAAATAATAGTCTATCTAAACAATACATTATGTGTATTGTAAAAAATAAAACAATAAAATAAATTTTAAAAGTTCGCTGTGGTTGTGTACTTTTAATGCTGGCAATATTTCCTCGTACAGCTATTCTTATACATAATTTAATCTTTAATCTTTATAATATAATATTTACCTATAGCTATAGTTTGTTTTTATGTTTTTCATAAGTACTTTGTATTTTCAGTGACTTAGGTACAAATAAGCTCCGTACATTACACAAGTCAACATTCAAAGGTATGCGAACACTATCTGAGCTGGATATGTTTGACAATCACGTGGAGTACTTGCCGTCAGGACTTTTTGAGTCACTTGTGAATTTAAGGATACTGTGAGTATCTCATTAATGAATGAGTATTGATATAGTAACTAATATAAGATAGATATATTTGTAGATATATTTGTGTGTGTAAACACAAAAACGGCTTAATTTTACATGCTTAGTATTATCAGTTAAAGATAATATATATCTGGGCGGATGCCCTTCATCATCCGAATCATCCATGTCTTCAATAACTTGTAATGTGGGTAGGAACAAAAGAATCACCAAAGGCACAATCAAAAGTTATTAAATCACATAAAGTATCTCCCTTACAGCAATTCACTAAAATCTATTCACTAGTAATTAGGGAATCACTTAATCAATCACTTTTAATTTGTTTTAAAACAACAAGGCACAAGATTACTCGGAACAAAAGCTATTCGTCGCAAACGTGGTGCGCTCGCCATTGACGTTCGAAAACTAAACGAAATTCAACATGGCCGCGCTGACCATCGACACGACGCTCCGCCAGACTGACAATTGTCAAATCTCGTTCCCACGTATTTCTTAACAGATGGCGCTAGGAATGCGCCGTCATATAAATAGCCTATGCTACTCAGGAATGAATACTTAAACCCAGCTTAATATAGGTTATATTTATTTCACAAATATAAAAAAATCTAGGTGCGAAACCGAAATTGGCCATTTGTATTTTATGTATCGTATATTTATTTACAGTCTTCATTCTACATGAATAGGTACCATTAAATAATATAATTTCTAATATAGTTTCTATTTCGCTTTCTGGTTTTCAGCCTAAAACAGTTAAATCGCAGGGAATCCTACAAAGGACCTTTGTCATGGATAAGACTATAGACGCTCAAAATTTTATTTATGTCAAATATATCCATAATAATATTTTTATAAAGAGCCACCGTCGCATTCCAGTTACAGTAGTTGCATTCATTAAACATATTTTTCTCATTTCAAAATCTTCTGACGGGTTTTTTAAAGTAAAATATTTTAATTATGTTTTAAATTTCTCGCTTTACGAATGATGTTCTATTATAATTTCAAAAATTTAAATGTTATAATGCTTTTCGCATTTTAAACACATTTTACCTGTAATCAAGAGTGGTATCGGGATTTCGACAATGTACTGAAGTCATAACAACGTTAAATTTCAGTGAAATTAAAGTCTGGCTGTGATAAGAATGTGTGCATAATGCACTCGAACTACGCTTCAGTTAAAAGTATTTTTACAACGTGCTTTTATTAAGAAAAACCAGTACCGCTACCTACAACCGATTATGGGTTGGGCCTTCGATTTATGTATCTGTTTCGTTATTATTTGTTTTTTCTAATGTGTCATATACAGGCCGACGAATTTTTGGGTCTAAGTCACCATCGGTTTCATCACGATGTGCACATAGATAAAAAGTCCATGCCTTCAGTTATAGATGAAATTAGATTGATCAAGTTTTTATGTCTTAACATGAAGTATACCGAATACTAATTAATGTATAAAAAGTTATAGTAAACTATAATAGGAAATCGCTCGAAAACGTTTCTTGTGTTTTTACAACGTCCCTATGGGAGATACGAGAGCTGAAAGTCGTGTTAAGAAACGACACTTTATAGCGAACTTTACTGTGATTTACCATTTACTAAGAAAATCCTTTCATTCCAGCCGCCTACAAAGGAATTACTTAGAGGAGATAGACAGCGAGGCTTTTCGCCACACAAAAAAGCTATTCCACGTTGATTTATCTAATAATTTCTTGTACACATTACCAGAGCGGTTATTCGCAAACAACACATACTTAGAAACAATAGACCTATCAAACAATCAGATTGTGTACATACCGTCTGACAGTTTCGTGGGTTTACGCTCGTTGTTAATACTGGATCTGTCAAATAACAAAATTCAACAGATACAAAACGGAACCTTTCATTTGAAGAGTTTGCAAATGCTAAAACTGTCAAATAATCAAATAAGTAATATAACAGAGAGTGCATTTGAGAGCCTCTTATGCCTGGAAACATTGCTTTTAGATAAAAATGATTTGCGCTACATCCCGACCGATTTATTCAGCCATCTTTTTAGCTTGACCTTTTTGGATCTTTCAAAGAATAATATAATGAGTGTAAGTATTATGTTTTTAGATTCTCGTTAGTGTAATAAGCTGTTAAATTGAGTATTCTAGATGTTTGAGATTTACTAATAAAGACTAATTTTGCTTTGAGTTAATTTCTTTTAAAGTTATGATATCCTATGAAGAAGATACTTAGAAATGTTGATGACATCAAAAAATATTAAATATATATTTTTTTCAGATATCGGGAGTGGAGTTTCGAAATCTTGGCTATTTGAGAAACTTAGATTTAAAAGACAACCTTATATCAGAGTTACCAGATAACGCATTCGCAAATTGTTCAAGCCTGGAAAAACTGGATTTATCCAGAAATAAGTTGAAATTTTTGAATGAAAGCACATTTCATGGGCTGGGAAATATGACGTCATTAATATTTTCAGAGAATCAAATATACGAAATACATTTCAAAACATTTGCAATGCTTAAAAATCTTACAACATTGTGAGTTTTTTGTATACACTCTAACAATAGGTAGCTGTCTTTTTTTTAACAAAGGCACATTTTTGCATGAGCACACGTATTTTTATTATTTACTTCATGAAGTGAAATAATGGCAACTACACAGACCGAGAGTTGAATTATGTAACTAAAAGATACCTTCAGATTTTTATTTATGATTATCAAATTATAAATAAATCTAAAGGATAGCAGCATTCTTGATCTTGATGGCCCAATTAGGAAAGTGTGGCTGTAAAAGAACTCGTTTAGGACAAGATCCCTATGGGGAACGATTAATACAGTAATACAGCCTTGCGATTCTGTAACTCACTTTTCGAACTCACCTCCAACTCACAGCGGCGGTCGCGCTCAAATCAGTCGTAAAGCAGTGGTATTCTGATAAACAAACTAGAAGGTCCCTCCTTATCAGAATGCCAAATCGTAAAATGACTGCTTTACGACTGATTTGAGCGCGACCGCCGCTGTGAAAACCGCTGTGAGAGATCGAAAAGTGAGTTACAGAATCGCAAGGTTGTCTTGGAATCTTACCCTTAAAGAGCAAAATGATCGTAAAATCTTTATAAATAATTCTGAGTACCACTTTAGGCCTTATGATCTTACATTTAACTTCAAATCGGTATGGAAGTTTTTGTCCTATCATTTACAAAACATTTCAGAACAAATAAATGTTTAATTGAATAAAAACCCACTTAAGATTTCAAATAGTATTTACTAGAGTAATGTACAGTAATTTTATTAGTGGGATATATTATAAAAGGCCGGCAATGCACTGTCACCGTCTGAGCCCATGGGCGACAGTATCCCTTAACATCAGATGAGCATCCAGTCCATTTGCCACATATCTTACTATACTGGGTGGCGCAAAAGTACTGGCACTAAAGAAAATTTGTTTATTTTTTTTATATGACATTTCCTGTCATTCTGTTGTTGAAAATTGTGTTGTGAACAAATGTAAAATACACTGAAAATAAACATGGACCGTTTTACTCCCCAAGAACGTGGAATAATAATTTTATATGTTTAAAAATAATTTCAGATATTTGGATAGTAACATGCTTCCTTCTCTTCCGTCGCGTACATTTGACTATATGCCCAAACTCGCTAACGTTAAATTGTCAAACAACCCATGGCACTGCGACTGTCATGCTCTGTATATTTCAGCGTAAGTAAGCGTAATTCTTGGAATATTCATTATTATCGCTATTATGTTTTTCAGAAAATTTCTTCGCGTTTTTGGGATTTTAGATCGTCAATATTAGTAATTATTATATTAATAAATCATTTATTTGCAAGAAAGTGGTACATTTATCGATGATCGCGCGTTGACGCGCGCTTTGATATTAATGTAATGTCCGTTTGCTGTTCAGTTGAGCGCGCGCTTTCATCGCGATCGCATGTAATTTTGTTAATTTTTGTAATTATATTTATAACAAACTGGGTATTTTTTTCAAAATTGGATGAACCCAATGTGTACGTTTTCTTTTTCTATATTTTTCTTTATAATGTAACCACAAAATAATAGCCTCTTCCACGTCCATTTTCTACGTTCTACCGAACTAGACTGACGAGTACTCTCGCAACGCGCATTAGCGCTCATCATCTGAACTCTCTTCAAATTTGATCGCGCTTTGACGCATGAACGCGTTGAGCATAGCCTAAGTCATATAATAAGATAATAGAATATTTAAATATCGTTTTTACCTAAGTGTCACATACAGTTATTTCCTCGTACACATAGCATGGAAGTGCTTAAAGTGTTAATTTAAATATCATTTTGATTTGCTTGTCATAAAATGAGGCATTAAGTGAATAGAGAACTTAGACAAGCTTTTGATTCGCTTAAAGTTTAAACATTACCAATATATTTGTGCAAGTGTCGTTTAATTCACTAGATTTTTTTCGGTTATAATTTAGTGTTTTATTACTTAAATAGTCAATATGACGGTTTAATCTGTTATTTTGCCTTTAATTACACTTAATTCTTTAAAAACTTAATAAATAACATCGCCATTATTATAACTATTTTCAGATGGGTCCGATTAAATGAAATGAAAATCTGGGATTATTCACCGACTTGCGTCTCACCGTGGTATTTGGAAGGTCATTTCTTGAAGAAATTGAAGTTCCCAGAGCTTTGCACTGGGCAATGGGCAAGCATGGTTAATTTATCCCCGCGATTGCCTATGCAGCAACTTCTGGCTCTTAATGTTACTGTTAATAGGAAGCCACAGCAAAGTATGGAGGAAATACAGGGTATGGAAGATTGGTAATACTTTTAAAAAGAATGAATGGAAGCAGAGATTCAAAGGATTTCCAGAGACAATATAATTCCATTGTTTAATGTATGACTTTAAAATTGTCACCCCTAAGCTGCCATGTTTTTGTTTTAAATAAAGTCTGATAGCATTCGCTTTTGATATTTGAGAAATAAGAAGAAAATCTCGGTTCATTACAAATTTGTCCTCAAGAGTTATTTTGTATCGTGAGTGACTGCGCGTTTTGGTAAAAGTTTTGTGTTTCTACAAACTAAAGTATTTTTGTAATCAGTGTGACCTTTGCCTTTCTTGCTACCTATTTTGTGCGCAATCCTTAGGTCAGGCCATAGAATCACCGATGGTTCAATTGTTTTTTTTTGTTTTCCATACCAACACTTAAATATATGACTTTACCCGGTATATGAGATGCTATCATCTTTTCCATAGAACTTAGTAAGATAATTAGTAAGTGCTCGAAGTTGGACGCAGAAACCAAGAGATAGATTGCGATGGCGATAAGGGCGTATGAAATAGGTATTAAAATAGCAGGTAAGTTTTGCCTATTCGTTTGCCGTTTGCCCTATTCTATAAAAAAGGTAGTTGCGAAGGCTTAGACCCGCAAGGGGCTGTACAGCCATTGATATATAAATAGGTCATTATTATAGAAAGTAAATAAACAGTAAAAAGTAAAGGCAGATTATCTAGTATATTTACTGGCGCATATATACTTACCACACAACAAAACTCACGGATTAGAACAGTTTATTACTGTAAAACTAGGAAATAAACTGGTATTCCAGAGCAATTAAGAATTTGTACGCTCTTTTCATGAAGGACTCGAAGCTCTATGTGCTCAATTAACGCTGTTTACAGGATGCAAGCCACGTATAAAAGAGAAACTTATCGTACGAAAACTGTATTGCGTTCGCCCGTTTCCACGCGTGTCTCAGGCGTATATGTTTTTTTTTATAGAACAGGGGGCAAACGAGCAGAAGGCTCACCTGATGGTAAGTGATACCGCCGCCCATGGGCACTCTCAATGCCAGAGGATGCGCGAGTGCATTGCCGGCCTTTTAAGAATTGGTACGCTCTTTTCTTGAAGGACCCTAAGTCGAATTAGTTCGGAAATAATTCAGTGGGCAGCTGGTTCCACAAAGTGGTGGTGCGCGGCAAAAACTGCCTTGTAAAACGCTCAGTTGTGGAACGGCGGACCTCGAGGTGATACGGGTGGAATTTCGTATTCTGCCTCATGTATGTTTCACGTACACTTGCCTAGTAAGAAAATAAATATGGAAATAAAATATTTGAGAATGCTTTAATACTTTAAAGATACACACTAAAGTATGTAGGTATAAATAGGTACTTTTGCCCTTGGTAAATTTAAATGTTGTGTCTGTGAAATAGTTCTTGTTTAAATATATAGACCACAAGCCCATGAACAAAAAATACCTGTGAAATGACCCAACGTGAATTACGCTTAGAAGGCTGTTACTATATCTGAAAATAGCTCTGAGCACTATGCCGTCATTTCTGAGCGGTACATGTGAGTACGTGAGTGAATGGACTTTCTCATGTACAATGGGGGAATTTCGACTAATTATTAAAGTACGGCTTTGTTATAAGTGTATAGATGATTAAAAATAAATGTCGAAAAACCTAGTGCCGTACAAAAGTGATGGTGCCGGAAGTCGGTGCAAATTTTTAATTCGACGACAGTTGCAGGAGCAATATAGGTCATTTATTACTGTACGGCATTTGTGTCATTCCTTTTGGACACATATACAGATACTTTACCCGTAAACGCCGTACATATTCCCAGCGGAGCGGTCGAAAGCCAAGGGTCGCAACATATGTCTGATTAGCATATAGGTGATGATGATATGAATCAACATAAAATTAAATGATCTTGAGAGTACTTCACAAATAGATAACATTTTCCAGCATGCCGTACATTTTTTGTGGAACACATAGGTGTATGGGGCAAATTACTTTTCTCAGAAAAGAGTCATTTTCCGGTGACTTTTATCTGTACGGCAATAACACAGGTTATTAATACTTTAGACAATCTTCAATAAAAGATAAATGCCGTACACTTTCGATAGTCCGCTACCACCGCCTACCAATACAGGGCGTCCCAAAGTTATGGGAAATGAAGGGAAAGTACCTTAAATATCGTAGATAGGGTATTTTACTAAAAGAAGACTTTATGTTATTTTTAAAAGTTATTAATTCTGCATTCAAAGATTTTTTTAAAAATTACTTGCCTCGTCTGGGAATCGAACTGACTTAAATGTAAAAAAAACACCCCTACTTTTATGATGCCAATCGAAAGAATGGCCAAAAACTAATAACTCTTCTTAAGTAACATAGTATTTTAAAAGAAAGGAACAGCGTGAATATATCTTTTTAATCAAATTAAAAACATTATCTATCGTATTCGGCCTAAAAAAATCCCCTACGAGTCTGTTACTTTAGAAAAGTTATTAGGTTTTGGCCATTCTTTCGATTGGCATCATAAAAGTAGGGTGTTTTTTTTTAATTTAAGTCGGTTCGATTTCCAGACGAGGCAAGTAGTTTTAAAAAAATCTTTGAATGCAGAATTACTAACTTTTATAAATAACATAAAGTCTTCTTTTAGTAAAATACCCTATCTGCGATATTTAAGGTACTTTCCCTTCATGTCTCATAACTTTGGGACGCCCTGTATTATATATATTTTTGTTAAAAATATTTTTCCTTTACCTCTCTCTGCTGGTACGATAAGGCTGTAAATATACTTTACAGCCTTATTGTAGTATACTCAGATATGTACAGTTATTAATGACCTTAAGGGACACCTCAAACGTCGTCGAAGTTTTTATCAGCTGTAAAGAATAATCTGGAGTAAAATGTACGGCATCTGGTTTTTTTGTTTATTTATATTTGTTACATATAAAATAACAATAATCTTTGAAAATATTACTCCCCATATTACTCTAGGAGCATTTGAAAAGTCATCTAAATTTCGGAAATTTCATATATTTTTTATCATAATATTTTTATTTGTTACCATTTATAATGAACGGCTATAATGTACAACGGTAATATTTAGTAACATTATGTAAAAAACAAGTTGCCGTACATTATTCTCTGATCTTACAGCAGTAAGAATTTGGTAAATCCTGAAATTTCGATAAATATTTAATTACACAAATATTAACTATATTATTTGGACGGCATAATTATAAAACATTATTGTCCGTGTTAAATAATATTTTGAACATGTTGCCGTACATTTTACAATGACCTTAGGGTATATGGGTGTAGGGGTAGGGTTCCGACCCTTGGCTTTCGACCGCTCCGCTGGAAATATGTACGGCGTTTACGGGTAAAGTATCTGTATATGTGTCCAAAAGGAATGACACAAATGCCGTACAGTAATAAATGACCTATATTGCTCCTGCAACTGTCGTCGAATTAAAAATTTGCACCGACTTCCGGCACCATCACTTTTGTACGGCACTAGGTTTTTCGACATTTATTTTTAATCATCTATACACTTATAACAAAGCCGTACATTAATAATTAGTCGAAATTCCCCCATTGTACATGAGAAAGTCCATTCACTCACGTACTCACATGTACCGCTCAGAAATGACGGCATAGTGCTCAGAGCTATTTTCAGATATAGTAACAGCCTTCTAAGCGTAATTCAGGTTGGGTCATTTCACAGGTATTTTTTGTTCATGGGCTTGTGGTCTAATAGAAACAAATAACACGCGAGACTGGCGCAATCAAACTTCGACATTGTTTCAACGGACTAACCCTCATAAACACGACCCTTGTTGATCGAATAATTCAGTATTTTCTTACTCTACAATATAGCAACCGTAATTTTGTATGGCAATAAAAAGTAACAAATTCTTTTGTTTGAATATACAATTATCAAATCTCTCCCGAAAATATAGCGAGGGGGCCGATGGCTCACCAGCGTCATACTCGTGAATGGGTGGTGGTGACTGGTTGTACTTGAATTCGTGTATGATGGTGATGGTGATGTTAGCTATTTCGACTATGTATTTGCGTGTTTTTCCCACGAGAATGTATGCGTAATGCGTGCTCCTATTTCACCATGCCTCCTGCTGATAGAGGACAAATCTTTGTTTTTAATTTATTTTATTACTATTAATTGCTTAAGATGTCATGTGGAACCCATGTTCCAGCTAAGGAGCTGCAACCATTACACCATTGTAATGGTTGCAGCTCCTTACAAACATTGTGTAAAACAAAAAACTTGGCGATAAAAAGAGTGGCGGAGAGTTTATTGCCAGTTCTTCTCTTCCGTTCCCTTGATTTGCATTTCATATATTATTTGTTAATTGACGTCATAGGTGTACATTACAACTACATGAATAAAAGATTTTTGAATCATAAAGAGCTTGATAAACAAAGTTACGGTAAGTTGGAAGACTTTTGTAAAATATATCAATATTTTCATCGATGTTAGTAATGAAGTTGTAAGAGCGAGATAGTCTATTCACTGGACCATTAAAAGTAGCAGATAAGCTACCCGTGGGTACGTATAAGAAGACTTTTAGTTCTAGTAACTCTAGGAATACAAAGGGAAAATTTTGCAAGAAGGTTAGAATGAGTATTAAAGTTACATACAAATAAACTAGATCAATGAAGTCACGTCGGAGTTTTAGAGTATCTAACCTAAAATAGTCCAAAGCAGCTTCGTACTTTTGCAATAGACGATTGCAAAGCTCTCTAAGGAAACGTTTTTGAACTGTTTCAATGGTATTTATGTGCATTTTGTAATGTGGTGACTAGATTACAGTAGCATATTCTAGAGTAACAATTTTTTAAAATTAAATTTTTTGAATATTAAATTTTAAAAAATTGTTACGATTTTACACTTCCAAAATAGTTTTACAAGTTGTAAAATTGTCTCTTTGACGAATTTACAGTTGAGTTGCGATGTCGATATTAATTATAATCAAATAATATTTTGAACGAAATAAGATCCGTTTATT